AAAAAAAATCCCTTTATCATAAGGACATTTGCACTGGACTGTTCATCACAGCTCAATTCACAATTGCCAAGATGTGAAAACAACCTAAATGCCCACCAAACCAGGAATGGATTAACAAACTGTGGTATATGTATACCATGAAATACTATTCAACCGTTCAAAAAGATGGAGACTTTACATCTTTTGCATTAACCTGAATGGAACTGAAAGACATTCTTCTTGGTAAAGTATCAGAAGACTGGAGAAGCAAGTATCCAATGTATTCAATACTAATATGAAGCCAGTATAAGTAGATGATCCAATACACACCCACATAAGAGAAAAACTCAAATCAATTCAAGGTGGAGAGGGGAGGAGGTAGGAGGATGGGTGTGTTCCCACTTAATGAGCACAATATTAGCGTGTATGGCACACCTCTTGTGGGTAGGATACAATTATAAGAGGGACTCTAACAAGTGCAAACATTGTAACCCATTTCTTGTACCCTGAAATAAAAATAATAAAATTTTTTTATTAAAAAATACTTCCCCCCCAAACAAAACAAAACAAAAAATCCATTACCTCAACTAATCTGATTACTATATCTATGTGCTAGCCTTAAGTGGAATATGTTGAAAACCTGTTAAACTTCCCAAACCATATCTACATTTGGAGCACTGGCTTTCATTCTTTGAAATATCTGTTCCTGAATGGTCATACTCAAGCTTTGTGCTAGAATAAACTCATTTAATTATATTTCCTGAATCTTGTTATTTAAGATGGACAATATTATGTACAAGTTCTTGGCACAATATTTGACACACAGACCCTTCTCAGTGTTGTTAGCTTAGTAAGAGGAGTAGTCTAATTTGAAGAGAAACTAACGTAAAAAAAAAAAAAAAAACTAAACCTATTAAATAATCGAAACCTAGGTTCCATATTTACTACACCATTAGCTATTTAATAATCTATTAATTTCTGCTGGCATTCTACAGGGAGAAAAGTATGAAACATGGGCAATCGATAGATCCAAAGACACAGTCTTTACTCCCACCCAACGCCTTTCCACCCGACACCCTTCAGCCCATGTCTCGATTTCTGGCCGGGGGAACAAGCTCCAACGGAACTCTTAGGCCACTTCGCCTCCCTCTGCCGACTTCCGAAGAGCCTCCTAAATCCCGCCAACGTAGGGTTTCCGCCTCAAAGATATTTGCATATTAATTGCTTATTGGCTGCTAGAAAACACTAGCTCTTCTTATTGGTTAATACTATAGGGCAAAATCCGGTTAATACCGTCTACCGCGGCTAAATGACTAAGGGACACAGGCATCTACACTTCCGTTTCCGGTTCGCCACCGGAACCATGGCGACCGCGCGGGCGCTTGGATGTCTCCTGAGGTTAGACAGAAGATGCCGCTGCCTTCGAGTACCTCCCCAGTCCAGGGTGAGTGCCTACATTCCCTGCTTTCGGAGAGACCCTGGGGCTCCAGGAACAGCTCTGCTCCCGAGAGGAGCGAGCTTGGCAGCCCTTCCGCCCAGTGAGCGCCCGCCGCCTTCCTCTCTGCCGGCAATCAGCTTTTCTTTTCTGGCCTGCAGGCACTCGCTGCGCTGGTGCCTGGCGTGACCCGGGTCGATGACAAGACCGATTTTCTGGAGAAGCTGCACTATCGCAAGCACCCTGGCATCTTGAAGTTACCGCACGTGCGGCTGCCGCAGGCACTGGCTAACGCGGCGCAGTTACTGCTGCTGGGTGAGTAATGGCAGGAAAGGGGGCTGGAGAAGAGACAGGATTCTGCCTGCGCCAAAGTGATTCCGCTTTTCATCTTTGGCTCACAGAGAGCGCGATCCCGAATGTGGAGAAACAGGTGCAAACACTGACCAATTATCTCTGGAGTCGGCATTTGCCTGTAGAGTCTGCGGAGTTGCAAAGACGGGCTATGCATCTTGAGAAAAAAATTCGGGACACCCAAGGTGGGACTTCAGAATAATTAAAGAGTAAACCAGAGTGAAATATCAACGGGAAATGAAGAGTAGGAAATAATTTTACAATCTCCAGATATTGCAGTCTATTTGACTTTCTGACCAGAATACTTGTTAACAGTGATGCCTTACCAAGAGATGATAGATTATTCCTAAGATTGCCTTTGGGGTTTAGATAAAGGTCAGAGTGCCCCAGAGCGTTGAAATCCAGATAATTTTTTTCCTGCAAGTCCATTGAATTAGGACCCCCTGCGTTTTTATTCAGATGAAATAAAGCCCCTGTATGGCTCCCTGTATGGTGCTGAAACCCCCTTCAGGGTTAGGGGATTAACATAACTCCTTATTTTCATGATTGTGAGCTCCTTGTATTACAGACCCGCCTTTTATTCATCTTAATGTTTCCCGCATATTCTACAGTATCTGGCTCAAAATAGCTGTTTAGTAGAGACTTGCTCAATACTACTGAGCTGATCACAGTCTTGATGCTTAGATTCCAGGCTTATTTCCTCTTATAGGAGTATTGGCAGTTGTCACAGTTTTAAATGATTGAGGAAATGTACAAAATTATATCCTGTCCTACTCTTTAAATTTTTATCATATTTCCCTTTAATGTAAACAAAAAACAACCTGTGGGATAGGGTTGGTTAAGTTGAATAAACTGCTGTTAGAGATGACATACTATCTGATAGACTCTGGTGGTGGTAGTTGTTACTGTTACTCCTACCTGAACTTTTTCTCTAGGTTTGCCTTCCCTGCTGAGCTTTGAGGCTTTTCTCTGGTCGGACTAGGAGAGGACTGGGCGGCAGTATATTCAGATATTGGATCTGAGCCCTGTTCTCCCTAGGTCCTCACTTCCAGTCCTTGTTCTCACCCCAGACTTACCTCAGACAGAGGAGAGACTTCATGGAGCAGTGCTACATGCGCTGCGTAGAACTACCTACCATTGGCAAGAACTGAGGTAAGGGGAACTAGAGAGGATACAAAGGAAAGAAAAAATGGACTTTAGAAAAAGAGTGGGGAGACTACAACTATGTATATGTGTGTGTGTGTGTGTGTGTGTGTGGAGGGGGTAGTTTTAAAGAGCTATCTTGGTTGTTAAGGCTCCCTTGAACCCTTCTGTATTGGAGAGTGAAAGGCCTGAGTTAGAAGAATTCTTTCCAAAGATGTCATTTCCTGAAAATTTGGAAGGTAATTAATAGGATTATAGTTATTTCCCAGTAGGTCTGACTGTCTAATTTCTATGGCAGCTACAGTGAGGGACTGAGCCTGGTGTATATGGCAGCAAGACTGGATGGTGGCTTTGCAGCAGTCTCCAGAGCATTTCATGAGGTGAAGTCCGGTGAAGTCCCTCAGATCCCTTTTGCCCTCAGTTTCCTTATTCAAAAAGTAGTCTTCTAGGGTAGAGATTCTTAGAACATTGCATATGTGTTTTTTTTTTAAGAGGTTCTCTTTATCCTGTGAACTGATTCTATGACCAAGAAAGGGATAGAATCACTGTTTTGGGAGCTTCCTAGTCTATAAAGTATATTTAATCTCAAAAGATACTCATCTCACCTTTAATTCATATTTACCAAAACCCTAAATAAATATCTAATTACCCTACTGTGGGGTGTCATGTGTTTCTTCAGATCCGGACTCGAATTCCAGAGTTCCAGCCACAAACCTTGATGGACTTTGGCTCTGGTTCTGGTTCTGTCACCTGGTGAGTAGCTTTCTTCATCCTTGTCTTTATCAGTTCTAGCTATAGGGCAGTGGTTCTGATCCTATGGGTCGTGACCCACAGGAACTGTATTAAAGGCCTGCAGCATTAGGAAGGTTGAGCACCGCTGCTCTAGAGAGTCATTCTTGTACAGCGCTAGTATCTAGAGACTGGGAAACCAGAGAGAGAATAAGAAAATTGGAAGCCTAGAATATTTCTTCCTCTGATTAGGCAAGACAGAAGAAAGTGTGTGGCTTGGGACCAGAACTTAAATGTCAAGTTAAAACAGGCCCATGTTTAGAAAGGCTAAAAGGGAAAGGATTTATAGAGCATAAGTTTTACATATCAATCAAAATTTTTTTGCCTATAATATTTTTTTGAGTCTGCCATTTTTTTAGAAGTTGTAAATGAAGTAAGAAGATAACATTGTTAGTTTTCTATTTTAACATAACATTCTGTTTTCCCAGGGGTGAGGTTGGGAGTTGGTGGATCTCTGGAGAGGATGTTCTGTCATGAGAATTAGTGATTTATATTTTGCCATCTTAGGGCTGCTCACAGTATTTGGGGCCAGAGTCTTCGTGAATATGTGTGTGTGGACAGCTCAGCTGCCATGTTGGGTTTGGCGGAAAAGCTACTGAAAGGTGAGGACAAACATTAAAGGAGACCATTTCCAAAGTTGATGGAGTTGAACAAATCAATACTGGAAAAGGTGTTTTATTGGGAAATAGAGAAGTAATGTTAAGATGAATCTTGTCTGCTTCCAATGTTTTGGTCAAGAAGAAGATACTGAAGGCTTTTGCTAGACAGTGGATGGGTTGAGTAAGGTTAACAGGCTGGGAGACCCAATATTCTCCCTGCCCTTTTTTATATTTGCTTACCCTATTGCATTTCACTCTTACCTAGTGTTTTCTGTATTCTTGGGGCTGTGTTTGTTATCTGGTTATCTCTTCAGTTTATATCTTTGGCTGATAACTTCCTATACACTCATAGCTGCCACATCTCTTTCCTCCACAGGTGGTTCAGAATCTGGGGAGCCTTATGTTCCAGGTGTCTTTTTCAGACAGTTTCTACCTGTATCACCCAAGGCAAGTGGCAGTGTTGAGAGTATTTTAATATGAGATGTAGCAGATGGAGAAGTGTGGCCTCAGCTTTGCAACCCAGCATTGAGTATTAGAAAATAAAAGAGAATAGAAGAAACTGAGCATAGGACTTGGTTGTACCCTTGGAATGGGGAGACATTGGGTCTGTCATGTTCCTTGTCTTGGTCCTCAGGTACAATTTGATGTGGTGGTATCAGCCTTTTCCTTAAGTGAATTGCCCAGCAAGGATGCCCGCGCCAAGGTAGTTCAAACCTTGTGGCGCAAGACAAGTAATTTCCTGGTGAGTTAAAATCCCTTTTCCCCACATTTCAAGTCTTAAAGCAGCTTCATGGATTTCATGCCTTTTCTTCTCTCATTGTCTTCATTTGAGAACAGTTTCCTCCTTTGGGTCTCTTTATCCTTTGAGATATGCTCTCCATCCCTGTGATATGTATAGTACCCGTTTACTTTTAGGCCCTACTCCATCTGTGAATGTTCTTACAGAGCTTCTGACATTTAAGTTTTCATGTAATTCAGGGCTTCTGCTTACTTTTCCCCTTTTGTGAATAGGTATTGGTGGAGACTGGAACAAAAGCTGGGCACTGCCTTCTCATGGAGGCCAGAGACCTGGTCCTTAAGGTGAAGTTCCTTCTCTTTCCTTCATTCCCCCACCCATCTGTCCCCAATACCCGGGTGTTGTAGCGGGCGCCTGTAGTCCTAGCAACTAGGGAGGCTGAGGCAAGAGAATCACCCTAGGCCAAGAGCTGGAGGTTGCTATGAGCTGTGATGTCACAGCACTCTACCAAGGGCAACAAAGTGAGACTCTGTCTCAAATAAAAATAAAAAAAGTCAGGTGGGAGGAGTTTGAAAATTTATAGAGTAGCCTGGAGCCTGCATGTGTATGATTTATACAATATGAAAAGGGATGTAGGAATGGGGTAAGGGTTAAAAATGTTTTTCCCTTATCTTTTCCTCTAAACAGTCTTTGTTAGAATAAGAAACCAAAGGAGGAAAACTTCTCCATGGTGATCCTTGCCTAAGCTTCTCCAGAAGAAGCTAATTGCTGGTCTCCTATCACCCAACCTGTTCTTAAATGGCCTCGACATGTACACTGTCACCTGTGCTGTCCAGATGGGCATATGCAGCATACTGTAATCACAGCATGCCGGCATGGCAGGTACAGGGGATGTGACCGGAATTAGTGGGTGGTGCTAACAATCCACAGCTCCACTGACATCTCTTTTCCATAGGGATTTGTATCGCTGTGCCCGTGCCAGCTCCTGGGGAGATCTTTTACCTGTGATCACTCCGTCTGAGTGTCCTCCAGCCCCTGCTCAAGATCTCTTTGATAGCTGACAAGGATGTGTGATAATTACTTTCTTCTATCATGCCTGCCAAGGCTGAAGCTTCCTGGTATCCAGGATAAGTGTGGTGGTACTCCCAAATATCTGGGTTTGTTTTTTCTTTTTTTTTTTTTCTTTTTTGAGATTTTAATAATAATAAAACATTTTTTTAAAGAAAAAATGGAAGTGGATTTTTGTGATGCTTAAAAGATCTAGAGGTCAGTTGTTCTGGCCTTTTCTGTGAAGAAGAAAATCCTCAGGTTTTCAATACCAAGCTTCCCACATACATCTCAAGCTCCCCTTCTCCTATAAAAATACTGCTTCTACCTGAGATCCAGGTTTCCCCAGGAAGATAATTGGATAGTGGGGAAAGCCACCTCCAGATCTCTGAAAACTGGCTCAACAGGTCTCAGGATTGTTGTATGGGCCACCTGAACAGAGACCCAGCAGCTGCCTGGCCTCTGTTTTTTTCTATCTCCTTCCCTTCCATCTTTCCCAGGCTCCCTCAGCTGCCCTAGAGATTGTCCCACATATTTCCCTTGAGTGTTGATCCCATCAGGACAGAATCTTCCATCTCCATGCCTATATATCCAGGCAGGCTACTGGGTTCATTCCTGGTTTCTCTTAAGCCTTGCTGTTTCAGGGGCTAAAGCAACT